CACCACTGCAATGGTTGTGGCTTGCTCCTTGGAGGCCAAATCTCCCACCTCTTCAGCAGCCGCCACCCCATGTAAGCCACCTCTAAATTGGCCACTTGGGGAAAGGGAGACACTTCTGTTCTCCTCCCCACTCTAGGGAGGAAATGGCAAGGGCTACTTTCTGGGGTCTCTGAACCCACGCAAGTAGTTTACCTAAGATTGGACTACCGTTATGGTTTCATACAGTGTTTTTTTCTTTAAAAAAAAAAATTAGGGGTACTCTCATTTTCCTGCTCATATTGAAATACTGCCCCTCAATGAGGCCAAACTTAAGATTCACAAAATGTTTAGGGGTATGTGTACCCCTGCATCCCCCCAGAAAAAAAGCACTGGTTTCATACACAAGAAAGAATTAAGGGTTGACAATGCAATCCTCGGCCTGCCTACTCAGAAGTAAGTCCCATTTAGTTCAATGAGATTTGCTCCCAGGTAAACGGACTCCAAGAAGATCAAACCTATCCATTCTGAAGGAAAGCACCCCTGAGTGCTCACTGGAAGGACAGATCCTGAAGCTGAGGCTCCAATACTTTGGCCACCTCATGAGACTCCCTGGAAAAGACCCTGATGTTGGGAAAGATTGAGGGCACAAGGAGAAGGGAGCGAAAGAGAACAAGATGGTTGGACACTGTTCTCGAAGCCGCCAACATGAGTTTGACCAAACTGTGGGAGGCAGTGGAAGACAGGAGTGCCTGGCATGCTCTGATCCATAGGGTCACGAAGAGTCGGACACGACTAAACAGAGGACGAGATGGTTGGACAGTGTTCTCGAAGCCTTCTTTGTGGTCCAACTCTCACTTCCATACATCACTACTGGGAAAATGATATCCATATCTGGGAAATTGTTTGCCTAAACAAGTGTTTTTAGGAGGTACTAAAGAGAGTAAACTGCGGGAAACTGTGGGAGGCAGCGGAAGACAGGAGTGCCTGGCGTGCTCTGGTCCATGGGGTCATGAAGAGTCAGACAAGACTAAACGACTAAACAACAACAAATGTGCATAGGACTGCAGTCCTTAGTCTGCTAATGTCTAATGCAGCCACCTTTCATAGCAATGGAGGGAGGTAACTCTATTATTGATTATAAACTGCTTGAAATTTGGGGAGGTGCAGTGACAGAAATGCAATAAATAACTAAATAATTGTGGAAATGCACACCAATATATCAAGATCTGCCTGTTTCATTTGCATAAAGGGGTATGGCGTGATCTGGGATATTAAAACTGTTCGCTGTCTTAAGGGAAATATGACCCTGATCAATTTTAAATTTGTGGCTGACACTTGCAGAATAACTTGAGGGTGTTCCTTCTTGATGAAGTAATGACTCTTCCTTGGATTAACTACCTTTGGGAGCTGTCATTTGAAATGTTAATAGGACCTGAATGCAAGGCTAAGTCAGTTTCCTGATAAAAACCTGCCTATTAATAGGGAGGTATTGGCCTAGAATGATGATTGAGGTGGGTGGAGTGGACTGATTTTTTATTTTTTTTAATGACAATGTCGCCGTTATGAAGCAAATCAACTATCTGCTTAGCACAGTCACATCCAGGAATATTTAAATCATTCCTTCTAAATGTGATCTGTAGGTGGTCTTTCATTCTCCTGTGACTTAAAGCCAGATAATGGCTGAATAACCAAACGTGAATGGTTTAAACATTTCATGCCTACTGCCCAGTTTGGATTGGGCTGCTGCTACCCAAGACATTTTTGTGCCTTTTGAAAATGGAAGTTTCAGATCTAAGTAGGAATGATGGTATCACCCTCTGTGTTATGAGATGGAATTGAGATTTAGCAGAAGACTTGGCTAATAATTCCTTCAAGGGTATAATGGCCAATGGTGCCTTGAATGTCCTTTGTAAGGAATTACATTTCAACATTGTGCTAAGGTGGCCTTTATCTTCAGGTAAGATTAAGAGGACGACCCCACACATTCCTGACCAATGTTGGGCAGATTACAGGAATTCTGCCATTTTGACTGATTCCTTAAAAGATGTTGTGCCAAATTTTCACAGCTCAACATGACATACAGAAAACTTCTCTCCAGTGGTTTGACTCCACCCCTGGAGGCTCTCTCCATTGTCTCTCAAGGCAGACAGAAGGAGCTGCATAATCTGTTATGAGTTAGAGGTGTTAAGGTTTGTGCTGCTCCTCTAATCCCTAGATCCAGAAAGTGTTTGAATTTAATCAAGGTTTCTAATTCTTGGAGTTGCCAGACTAGCCTCCTGGTGAAATGATAGCCTAGGCGATGAGCCATTAATGGACTCAGTGAAAGACTACAAATGGGTGTAGAGCCCTACCCTCAACAGATAAAGCTAAAAATTAGAGCAGACAGCTTGTGGGGCAGTAAAGTGACCTGGAAGTAAGGCAACAAGCTGGAGAGAGAGAGAGTCAGAGCAATGTTTGATTACTGCTTGAATCCAAGGTTGCAGCTGTGGAAGAAACAAGACCCTTTTTGAGGAGTTGATGCTGTGAACCGCTCCATTGGAGGCCCATGTAGAAATAAACCATATATCATAAAGACACCACAGTCTCTGCTGTGCCTCATTCGAAATGAAACACGAACCTGGTTAAGCACCTGGAATCCCTGGAATCTTCCACTGCTTGGAGATTAAGGTGGCATGAGACAAATCAAAAGACTGAAAGAAACAAAAAAGAAAAGAAAGAAAAGCTGCCTCCAGAGCTGAGAACCTTCAAACCTAATGTACAATCACATTATATTTCTTGCAAGGCTATAACCTTGGCAGTGATTAAAGGTTGCTTCTTCTTCTTCTTCTTCTTCTTCTTCTTCTTCTTCTTCTTCTTCTTTCACACTGCAAAAACAGCTTTGCCTTCCTTGTCAGAGATGCCATGATGTAATAGCTGTGGCAGGTGGGCAGCATTCGTTGTTTAAATGGGGGGGGGGGCGGGAGTTTGTGTGGAGATAGCACACATAAAACAGCGCCCTTTCCTTTAAAAAAAATAAAATGAATCTCATGAATGAAGTCTGCTACCCATCCAAATTAAAGCTGCAGTTCTGCACCCATTTACCTGACAGTAAGCCCTGCTGAACTCAATGGAACTAGGATGCTATTAAGTACAGTGGTACCTCAGGTTACATATGCTTCAGGTTACATACGCTTCAGGTTACAGACTCCGCTAACCCAGAAATAGTGCTTCAGGTTAAGAACTTTGCTTCAGGATGAGAACAGAAATTGTGCTCCGGCGGTGCAGCAGCAGCAGGAGGCCCCATTAGCTAAAGTGGTGCTTCAAGTTAAGAACAGTTTCAGGTTAAGAATGGACCTTGGAATGAATTAAGTACTTAACCTGAGGTACCACTGTACTTTTTTTTTTTATAATGATATTTATTAAAATTTTCAAAGAATACAAAAATTACACAAAAACAAAGAGTAAAAATACAAAAAATAAAAATACAAAAAAATAGAAAATACAGAAAAAAGAATAAAGAAAAAACAAAACAAGTTCATTATTTTCAGACCCTTAACTGTCATTGCCTTCTTTCTTAGACCTCCTCCTCCTCCCTTCCTTTGTATTCTAGTTATTAATTATCCCAGCAAATCCTTTCCTTTCCATGTTTCATAAAATTCTATCATTACATTACCCTCGACTAATTTAGTCCTATCTTTCTATAATAAAATAAACCTTAAAATTTAAAACTTAAGTCTTAACCTTACCAGCTTCTTATGATCATAATATTCTTTCATAATTCTTTATGCATCTTTACTAAAGCCAATTAATTTCTTCCAACATTTTTCTATCATTCATCAACTTTGTAAAACATTCTAATAATAAAAAAAAAGAAAAAGAGAGATATAAACAAGTCCAATCTTTATCCAACGTCCCTTTCTCCTGGTTCCGGGATTTGTCAGTCCTTATTAACCCGGTAACCTTATGTCCGAGGCCCTCAAGTCACTTCCATGGCCCTTCCGCGGCTCTTCTTCATACTTATATCTGTAATTTCCCTTATCCCCTCGTGATAACTCCAGCTTGACAATGTCTCTTGCTCGTGGTAACTCCAGCTTAGTAATGTTTTTAACCCTTCTCGTCAGATCAGACCCTTTTCCATATTCATCGCTGCATTCCATGTAGTATTTAAAAGCACGTTTCAAGGGCCCTCCAAAGTTGAGAGCCCCCACAGTCCCAAACATATCGCAGCCCATTACCATATTTAAAAAGTCCAGACATCCCAACATAGGGGGGTCAATCCAGCCCCCCATTTCCAAGCCACACCAAACTTTCCCTTTCCAAATCTGGCTTTTTCCAAGTTCAGAGGTACCACTGTACTTTAAAGTCCTATTCGTTTTCATTGCAGTGTTATGTGCATGCCTAACTCTGGTCCACTAAAATCAAACATTTCTGTTGCTCCTCAGATGCCCAAACTGCTTTAAAAAGGAGTGCAGGAAATTGTTGCTTGGTGACTTTGAGAAATAATAAGAGGAAAGTGATATTGTCACAATATGTGTAGAGTTATGTGAGAGATGTACACTTCGTGCTCTAGACTGAAGCCCCCAGTGTGTGCATGTCCTACAGTAGGCATGTGTGACTGAGGTTGCCAAGAAGGACACACCTTTCAGCACAATATGTGCTCAATCTGCTTTTGGAGACTTCTGATACTGTTGGCGGGCTTCAAAGTACCTGTAAGCCCCATTTTGGCACAGCCAAAACTTTACTTCCCCCACAACTGACACCATGTATTGTGTCAAGTGAAGATCAGGAGGGTATATATTGTCAGAATCTCCGCATGACCAATCTGCTCCTCTGGTCGTGTCTTCGGAATCTCCTCCGACGGTGATTAATGACCCAGGCCTTTGATGAGGCTTCAGGCACATTCCCCCATTCCGCAGAGTACCCAGACAGCAGAAGGAGTCAAAATATGTGCTACATTGCTACGTTTTATTTCTAACTACGCAGGACAGAAACGAATATGCATCTGCTCTCTGTGAAAGACAGAGAACCAACTGGAACAAAAGAAACAGGAAACCAGTAACATCAACATCCATCGGCCATCTCCCGTGAGACTTCTAACAGTCTGGAATGTAAACAGAGTCTTGTGACTCCAAGCACTGCACAGTGGCATAACAGAAACCTAACATATAGATAGATATAGATAGATAGATGATAGATAGATGATAGATAGATGATAAATGATAGATGATAGATGATAGATCAATAGTTATACACACACACACACACACACACACACACACACACACACACACCATTAGTCAGTTCCTGCATCTTCCCCCTACCTTGTGGTCAAAAAGTAAAGGAAAAGGAAAAGGTTAAGTCCAGTCGAAGGTGACTATGGGGTTGCAGCGCTCATCTCGCTTTTCAGGCCGAGAGAGCCAGTGTTTGTCCACAGACAGCTCTCCTGGTCATGTGTCCAGCATGACTAAACCACTTCTGGTGCAGCAGAACACCATGACGGAAACCAGAGCACACGAAAATGCCGTTTACCTTCCGTCACAGGGATTCAAACCGCCAACCTTCTGATCAGCAAGTCCAAGAGGCTCAGTGGTTTAGACCACAGCACCACCCACATCCCTACCTTGTGACCCCTTTTGTAGTAACCTTCTCATGCTTGTCTTCCAGTCACTTGTGTCTTTGCATATCTTCTTATCTTTTCTCAGCAGCAATTCTAAGAGCAGTATTGTTTTGGCAGTACAATCGAGCTAGCAAAGCCATAGCATACTCTTCTTTCAGAAACAAAGCAAAGCACCAAAATGCTTTTTTAAATGACAAGGAACGCTGACCTCAAATGCAAAGACTAAACTCAGATTGCGGTCACTTTTGAAACCATGTCCGTTTTCCTAGCTCTTGCCTCTCATTAATGTCGACATTCACAGGGGAAAATAATACGTTGTATGAACTATGAAGACCTGAGACACACAGAGGCCTGTTTTAATATTTGGGATCATTATCCTGCGCTACTTTCTGAATAACTGGCTGCCCTTTTAAGGCAAACAATATTCAATACTTAAGTAGATTAAAAGCACGAATCTTCTTTATTACTTTTGCTGTGGCTGGCCTTCATTCCCAAGGCCCGCTGCTTATTACCCTTGCTACAATAATGTCAGCATGGAAAGGCAAATAAGGCTTGTGCCACAAGCATCCTGTATCAGTACACGAGAGGCTTAGGAAACAATGAATTGTGTGCATGCTTTTATCTCAGGAAGATCCCATGGAGTTGGAGACTGGTGGTATTTGCTGAGCTAACTTTGAACAAATGGCAAATAATAAGGCTCTGTCAAGAGATATCTGCTGAGTGAATTGCCGGGGGCAGCAACCGCTCAGGCTGTGGAAGGAGGGAAGAAAAGCCCCTAAGTGAATATTGTTTGTCAGTATGCTTCTTACTATGTTTTATTATGTTTTTATCATTATTGTTCTGTAATATGGTTTATGGGATGCGGGTGGTGCTGTAGGTTAAACCACAGAGCCTAGGACTTGCCGATCAGAAGGTTGGCGGTTCGAATCCCCGCGGCGGGGTGAGCTCCCGTTGCTCAGTCCCTGCTCCTGCCAACCTAGCAGTTCGAAAGCACGTCAAAGTGCAAGTAGATAAATAGGTATCGCTCCAGTGGGAAGGTAAACGGCGTTTCTGTGCGCTGCTCTGGTTCACCAGAAGGGGCTTAGTCATGCTGACCACATGACCCAGAAGCTGTACGCCGGCTCCCTCAGCCAGTGAAGCGATATGAGCGCCGCAACCCCAGAGTCGGCCACGACTGGACCTAATGGTCAGGAGTCCCTTTACCTTTAATATGGTTTTAACGTTGTACACCGCCCTGGGATCTCTTGATAAGGGGTAGTATAAAAATCAAATAAACAACAACAAAAAACAATTACTGAGGGAATAAGAGCATTTCTCATTAGAGCAGTGTTCCCCAACCTTTTTCCAACTGTGGCCCCCTTCTGACCTTGTTTCTTACCTGTAGCCCCCCCCCCATGGGCATAGGCAAGGGGGGCAGGGGGCAGCTGCCCCCCAATAGGTAAAAATCAATACAAATCAATACAAATCTGAGGTTCTGCTCATCATATACTGTGTTCCAGAAGCTTTTAATTTTGTCACAGGTCCACCAAACATGTATAAGTATAACTTTATGAAAAATACAGAAGCTTCTCTACTAGGGATACTGGACACAGATATAGCAAGAGAAGATCAGAAAATATTCCTCTATGCCACAGGAGCAGCAAGGATCCTAACAGCTAAAAACTGGAAAAAAGAAACTGTGCCAACAAAAAAGGAATGGCAAGACAAGCTGTTAGAGTATATTGAACTGGCTAGATTAACAGAGGCAATTAGAGATCACACTACACAAGAGTTTCAAAAAGCATGGGGGAAATGCAGAGAATACTTCACAAAACAGTGCCCTAAAATACATACCTGGACTTGTTTCGATTAATGTCTGCAGGAGACTTTGTGGATATTTAAGTTATAATTAGAAAAATCTTAATAATTATTCATAAAGGAAATAGTTTATAAGAAGTAAATAAGGAAGCCAGATACAGGATATAGGAAGTCTTTTATTTCGTTGTTTGTATTGTTGTATATGTTATGCTCACTGTATGTTATGTTCACATTTAATGAGGGTGGATTGTGTATGGAGGGGTGGGGGGTTTATGTTATGTTGTAAATAAAATTCCAATAAAAAATATTTTTTAAAAAACAAATCTGAACAATTAAACTGTTTGCAAATTCACACAGAGGCATCTGCTGCCGCACTCAAGAAGAGCAATTCCAGATCAGGGTTTGTGTAGCACTCGTTGAAAATATGTCATTTTCGAAACGACACAGAGCAGTCTGGATTATGTTATTTTTTCCACTTTGTTAAACATATACTATACGTGTATTGTATTCCCTGTGTTTATTTTCCATGATTCATCTATCCAGGCAGCCTGGATTCCATTAAGAATGAAAGAAAAGAAAACAGGAATTCTTGAACAAATTCTAGTTTCAATTTGCTTGCAAAAACTGGAACTTCCAGTCTCCTAATCTGACTTCTTTGACAGTACCAATTGGGGTGGCAGGAGATGACATTTCAATTTTAGTTGGTGGTCGATTTTACATTATGTTTATTTACATATATGTTTAGTTTCTATTATCAATTAAGTTCTAGGTTTTCATTGTTCTCTGTGAACGTGGACTGCAGCCGTTCCCAACTGTGACATTCCTCCATCCATCTGCTGAGAAGATGGTGGGTGGTTTGGCTGTGACTGCTGTTGACGGGAAATGGCATTGTGGGAACAGTAGTTCAGCCACAGAGTGAGGCACAGTAGCAGAGGCAGATTATTTGATTCTGAGCATGTAGAGTATGGAGATAAAAGTGCAGAGAGATCCAAGTGAATTGAGTTGCCAGGGCATTCCAGGGAAGATCTATGTTAGGGCCCTGAGGGAATGATGGAATGGAAAAGGGAAAGAGCCTTTTCCACGCTGATTTTGGGGGCAAGACAACTGGGGAATGGACAGAGTACCATAGCTGTCAACGTTTCCCCTTTTTAAAGGGAAATTCCCTTATTCCGAATAGGATTCCTTGCAAGAAAAGGGAAAAGTTGACCTCAAAAAGAAAGCTATTTTGCAAAATATAAAGATACAAAAATGCTGTTTTTAAAAAATATCTTGATAAAATTACACAGACATATTATCAAAACTTAACTTATACAAGAACTCAGTGCTTTTTTCTTTAAAAAAAATGTTTAGGGGGGCTCTCATTTTCCTACTCATATTGAAATACTGCCCCTCAATGAGGCCAAACTTAGATTCACAAAATATTTAGGGGTATGCGTATCCCTGCGTCCCCCCAGAAAAATAGCACCGCAAGAACATATCTGGCATACATCAGAGCATACTAAAAGTATCAGTGTCAAAAACAGCATTCACTGTCAGTGCAACTTGGCTAACTAATCAACGGTGAATTGGTTAAGTCAGGCCAATTCAACGTTCCATTTTATTACAAGAGATGAATTTAATTGTATTGCCTTGAGGTAAGGAAAATCAGGTATGGGTCCTGTTCCTGTGTCTCTGGAACCAGCCAAAATGCATGAATAAGTGGGTTGCAGAGGTGGGAAATTTTGCCACATAATAGTATCCTATGTGCTGATGCCTCTTCTTCAAATGAGTGTAAATTGTGATCTTGAAGATAAGACTTACCATATATACTGGAGTATAAGCCGACCTGAATATAAGCCGAGGCACCTAATTTTAGCACAAAAAACTGGGAAAATTTATTGACTCGAGTATAAGCCAGTTCACCACACCACAAACTGGTGGTGGTGGCGGCGGCGGATGAAGAACAAGCAGCTCGTTCCTCCTCTGCCACCGCCAACAGCGGCAAAGGCAGAGGAGGAGGAAGGAAGGAAGGAGCAGCCCAAAAGGACCCTCAGTTGAGTATAAGCATAAAAAATGTGCTGAAAAAGTCCGCTTATACTCGAGTATATACGGTATGTTGCTTTGCCATCCCCCAATTGTGGCTACTCAGCATTCAGTGCCATGTATTTGTTAGAGAAATAACTGTCAGACAACTAACAATCATGCCACTGTCCTAGTGTTGTTGTTTAGTCGTTTAGTCGTGTCCGACTCTTCATGACCCCATGGACCAGAGCACGCCAGGCACTCCTGTCTCCCACTGCCTCCCGCAGTTTGGTCAAACTCATGCTGGTAGCTTCGAGAACACTGTCCAACCAATCTCGTCCTCTGTCATCCCCTTCTCCTTGTGCCCTCAATCTTTCCCAACATCAGGGTCTTTTCCAGGGAGTCTCATGAGGTGGCCAAAGTATTGGAGCCTCAGCTTCAGGATCTCTCCTTCCAGTGAGCACTCAGGGGTGCTTTCCTTCAGAATGGATAGGTTTGATCTTCTTGCAGTCCATGGGACTCTCAAGAGTCTCCTCCAGCACCATAATTCAAAAGCATCAATTCTTCGGCGATCAGCCTTCTTTATGGTCCAGCTTTCATTGTCCTAGTAGCATGGGTGAAAAGTGGTGCCTACCTGCCTGAAGAGAGATGAAATGTCCAATTGAGAAGATGAGAAATTAAAAAAGGAAGTTAAGAAGCCCCTTTGTAGTCTGGGATGCAAAGGACCCGTTCTAATGAAACTGGTTGGCAACATGTGAACATAGAGAGCAGTGTTAACCTGTCTCCCTCTCTCCACATGAGGAAACATGAACATGAGGTCACAGAGGCAAGTCTTCCTTTGAAGCTCATAATGAGATCATAATGGGCAGTCATCATAAGATCATGTGGGCCATTAGGCAGTCATTGTAGGGGGCAAATACTAGGCAAATACTCGAGGATTTTCCTCAAGACTACAGCAGGGATTGAAACATTTTAATGCCCTCACCATATCAGGTCTGATTTCATTAAGTATCAGCCGCTGCCAGTTGATGCTGTTTTGGGGTGGCATTCAACTAAACCATGGGTAGGCAAACTAAGGCCCGGGGGCTGGATCCGACCCAATAGCCTTCTAAATCTGGCCCACAGATGGTCCGGGAATCAGCGTGTTTTTACATGAGTAGAATGTGTCCTTTTATTTAAAATGCATCTCTGGGTTATTTGTGGGGCATAGGAATTCGTTCATCCCTCCCCCCAAAAAATATAGTCCGGCCCCCCACAAAGTCTGAGGGACAGTGGACCGGCCCCCTGCTGAAAAAGTTTGCTCACCCCTGTATTAACCACAATGGCACTGAATTGGCACCCCCCTTCCAACACCCACACATTCTTTCACAAGTCGTACTGACTGTGTAAGAGAGATCCTTATATTGCTCCTATTTCTATTGCAGATCCAACTGGCTCACTTAGTTTTATTATATCTGGTCCAAGTTAAATAGGAGTTTCTTTATGTGCTCTGTGGACAGCATCGGCTTAGGATACGGAGGGGAAAGACTGTTGAATGATTACAATAGATGGGAGTAGCAAGGGGATCTAAATGAATCATTACAGACTGTTCACAGTTTTGCTTAAATGAATCTAGCCTTTTCGTCTGCTATCAAATATACAGTCAAATTCATTTGAAAATAATCGTCAAAATCTCAAAAATGATTGACTACTGGGGACGCTATAACTGAACTCTACTCATGCTCACCCAGCTCAGTTTACTGGGATACTAAATGTGTGTATCAATTTATCACTTCTGAGATTAGTGTAATATATAGTGTATAATTATGCCCTTTATTGCAGTAAGTACAGAAGGATACTAAAGGAACCCCAGTGTACTCTTCCCAGCCTGGTCTCAGACTCACTATTAGCATAAAAGTTAAATTCATAGCTGTGTCTCAGCAGCGGTAACAATCTTAATTAAAGTTCATGAGGCACTTGGATGCCTTCAGAAGAAATGTGTCTGAAGGAATATTATAATTGCCAGCTAAGATTACTTTACAAAGCCCAAACTGAGAATTGATTTGATATTTTACTCCAGAGCAGGACTGCAAGACCTGTGACCCACGTGCTCTAGATAACTTTGCTTGTTTCTGTGGATTGGAGTCACAGTACATGAGTAGTGTACTGTTTTTGGCTTGGTGGGCTGCAGGTTTTTATTATTATTATTTTAGTGTTTATTTTTTTGAGTTTGGGATTTTTACATACATTATATTATCTCCTTCCAATTTTTTATTTCCCATACAATTTTTTCCTTTCCCTCCCCCCCCCCCCCCCCCCGGTATCCATTGGAAGGGTTCAAACAATTCTCCTCACGGGCATAGCATCTTTAGTTTCCACCGAATGTCTTTTGTTCCAGTAGTTTTTATCCATTTAAGATAGGGGTTCCATCTGTTCCTTATTGTGGTGGACCTGATCTTCCACGTTGTTTCCTGTGACATGACTGCGACAATGTCCGACTGAATAAGTTCAAACAAATAACTATTCCATGCCTCTACTGTCCATTTTTCTCTATCTTTCCAACCTAAAGCTATTGTTGCCTTTCCCACTAATATCATAGCTTTGCAGGTAAGCTGGTCACCTTTCTCTACAGCCGTGTTTCCAAGTTGTCATGAAATCAAAGTCTATTGAAAGCTTCACTTTAAAAATTTCATTAATAACCTTTAGGATTTTATTCCAGAATTCCATTACCTCTGGGCATTCCCAGCACATATGGGAAAACCATCCCTTGGCTTGTTTACAGTGCCAACAGTTAGCATTCAATCCTGGTACCATATTAGCTAGCTGAGCCAAAGTTCTGTACCATTTTAGAATTTTAATTCCAGCTCTCTAAATTGGGCTACAGGTTTTATAACCCTGATCTTCCTGTTCCTCATTTTTCTTCTTTCGGAGGTTCCCGGTTGTGTTAGAGGCACCCTGGACAGATCCCACTTCACCCAGAATCCCTCCAAGACATCCTGCTTCAGGATTCATACAAATCGGCCGCACGCCTATAATCCTTTCATGTATTTTCTACCAGGCTGCAAAGAACAGAAGTAATGCAGTTTCTTTCATGGTATATTTTACCTGAAATGTTGCATATCAAGAAATATATTCTACTCTATTTTGGGTGGAATCCAACGTTACGCTGCTGTGAGCATTCCATCTGTGCAGGAATTTCAGCTTGCCAGACAGAATGATGTTCCCTTTCCCCTCCTTGTGCACGGTTCCAGGGGTTGTCCTAACACACACACCCCGAGCCAATTTTGGGATGTGTGGAGGAGGACGGAAAACCCTGTTGCACAAACAGAAGTCCTTGCATAGGGCTGCCGCTGGTGGGGCTTATCAAGTGAACTTAACCATATTGGTTTAACAGGAAATGCTTCAACACTATATTAAATACAATTTGAAAACTCTTTCTGTGTGTATGTGTTTTGGAGTTACAGGTGGCACAATTTGCTGGCATGTTTTCACATGAATATATAAGGCAAACATGTTGATTTATTTAAAAGGGTGACGTCAGATTGTGTCTGTTTTCATTTTCCTGATTTTCACTGCTTGTATTTTGCTGATTTGTGAGAAGTAAGTACTTTGTTGTTGCTTAGCAACCTGAACTGCTGTGGTGGCTAAAGGTTCGGAGGATTCGTACATGTCTGTGCTATATGCAGCTGAATGATTTGAGGTGCCCTGTTAAGGATATTAAAATAATCCCTCTATTTTCAATTATACTTGTTGTAAAGTAACACTAATTGTATTCTCACCCCCGCCCCGCCCCCAGGTACTTTGTGCTCTTAGAAGTGGGGGAAATTAATGTTTTCCCCACTACTAATTGTGCACGCAGAAACCAAGTTATTTCTTCATTGTTGTGAACAGAGTGATTTCACAGCAATGTTATCAAAATGTGCATACACCAGGAACTCAGAAAGATAGAGAGCTGCCTTAAACAAAGACAAACTATTGATTAATTTTGATCACTTTGTCTACTATGAGGGACACGCTGTGGTCTACACCACTGAGCCTCTTGGGCTTGCTGATCGGAAGGTCAGCAGTTTGAATCCCCACAACAGAGTGAGCTCCCATTGCTCTGTCCCAACTCCTGCCAACCTAGCAGTTCGGAAGCACGCCAGTGTAAGTAGATCAAAATGTCTGTGGCAGGAAGGTAAACGGTGTTTCCATGCACTCTGGTTTCCGTCACGGTTTCCCATTGTGCCAGGAGCGGTTTAGTCATGCTGGCCACAAGACCCGGAAAGCTGTCTGTGAATAAATGCCAGCTCCCTCAGCCTGAAAGTGAGATGAGCGCTGCAACCCCAGTCGCCTTTGACTGGATGTAACCATCCAGGGGTCCTTTACCTTTTACATTATGAGTGTCAGCAATATCCCAGGGTTTCAGAGAGGGCATCTCCTCCCAGCCCTATATAGCAGAGCTGGGGCTTGAACCAGGGAACATCTGCCCACAAAGCAAAAGCTCTTTCTCAGAGGTTTGCCTGTTTTGTTCCTGCTGTGCTTGTGCTTCCATTTCTAAGTGGGGCTCCATGAATCTCACTTTCCCTTCCCACCTCTTGCAGATCTTAGGCCAAGACAGAAGACATCTTTGGACATTCTTTGATCCTTTGATGAACCCCAAAGAAGCAAGGAGTGGAGCAGTGTTGACCAGGCCCACCTCAAAGGCTACATGTGCCTCCTGACATTCACATGTACATCTTCAGCAAAAGGGCTTCATACTGATAGTGGTACTCAGAAAGACTTTCCTGACAATTTGAGGTTGAAGATTCTGAGGAAGCCCCTGTGTGTACAACTACAGACCCTCTGAATGTTCCTATTTTCCAGGGACAGCCCCAGATTTACAGAAGCCGTCCCAGTTTCTGAATAATAGTTAGTTAGTTAGTTAGTTAGTTAGTTAGTTATACCCCACCCATCTGGCTGGGTTTCCCCAGCCACTCTGGGCAGCTACCAACAGAATATTAAAAACACAATAAAACATCAAACATTAAAAACTTCCCTAAACAGGGCTGCCTTCAGATGTCTTCTGAAAGCCAGATAGTTGTTTAAGATAGTTGTTTATTTTTTTGACATCTGATGGGAAGGCATTCCACAGGGTGGGCACCACCACCGAGAAGACCCTCTGCCTGGTTCCCTGTAACTTCGCTTCTTGCAGTGAGGGAACCACCAGAAGGCCCTCAGAGCTGGACCTCAGTGTCCAGGCTGAATGATGGGGGTGGAGACATTCCTTCAGGTATACTGGGCCAAGACCATTTAGGACTTTTAAGGTCAACACCAACACTTTGAATTGTGCTCTGAAACGTACTGGGAGCCAAAGTTGGTCTTTCAGGACCAGTGTTATATGGTCTCAGAGGCCACTCCCTGTCACCAGTCTAGCTGCTGCATTCTGGATTAGTTATAGTTTCTGGGTCACCTTCAAAGATAGCCCCATGTAGAGCACATTCCAGTAGTCCATGCAGGAGATAACTAGAGCATGCACCACTCTGGTGAGACATTCTGCGGGCAGGTAGGGTCTCAGCAGGTGTACCAGATGGAGCTGGTAGACAGCTGCCCTGGACACAGAATTGACCTGCGCCTCTATGGACAGCTGTGAGTCCAAAATTTGATCCTGGAATGTCTCGCTTTTCCTTAGAACATCCCTATTTTCATCAGAGAAATGTTGGAGGCTATGGAATTGTGTCACCCCCAAGCTTGTTTCTGCAGATGGAGTAAGGGATCAGATGAAAGAACTATGGAAGAATGGGCAGGAGCAGCCATGACTATCTCATCTTTCACTTATACAGGTTGCAATTTGAGAGTCATACTATGATGCAATGATGCTCTCCAGATTTAATAATTGAAGCAATGTGACTAGAAAGCCATGATTATACTGTGACTGCAGTTAGGGGTGTAAGAAGATGGTACTTTGCATTCTGACCTGTATGCATCACAATTGCTTCTGCTCCCAATCAGCTGCATCTATTTTCCTCAGATACTCAGATCACTGTCACCTATTTAATGTAACTTACGTACCTTACATTCATTTTCACGTAAAGGTCAAAACAGGAAAAGTAAAAACAAACAAACAAACCCATCATTAATTATGGATCATTTGCAGGCTGCAAAAACAACCACAGTGATGTGAATAGCAACCGATCATATTCGCTTAACTTGGTTTCCGTTCCTCACCACAAACAAACATGCAAACTGCAGCAATTTCCGCTTCCTTTTCTCTTTTAATCTGAATTCCCAGACTACTGTAGTTTCAATTAGCTGCCTTCATTGCAATAGATAGCTTGTCTGTCAATACGTATGCCAGACTGCTTGGAAAATGCATTGACTCTTACGTCTTATTTTTTGTTATGACTGGAAGAAACCTCTGCCAAGAACACATTTAAACATAAATATATCTCCTTTTGCTTCTGTGGATGTGTTAACTGAAAATAATAATGAAAATCATCATCATCATCATCTCAGCCCTTACAACACAAGGACAAAGCCACTTGGTTGGCAATACCCTAGGGAGAGGTTGGTTGCTCGAAAGGGTTACTTTAAATTCAAAGTAATCTTGTTCCTTGGGTGAATTAGTCTAGGTATGCCAGCTGCTAGCAAAGAAAATGGAGCACTGAAAAATGTGTTGAGCAGATGTGCAGGCATATCCACCCCCCTCCACCTTTCCTTATTTAAAGTAATGAGAACATTTGCAAGGACACTGATAACATCATTAATTTTAATAATTGTGCACCTATTATATTTTAATAGGAGACTGTGTTGCACTCAATTTGCAACACAGAAGCATGAAATCATTCACTGGATAGCAAAAGTGAAGATATTTTGCTTTGTCGGTGAGTTCCAGAAGAGTTGTGTGAGTCTGTGGCTGGGAATGCAACAAAGAACCCCACAGTTTCTTAAAACTAACACATGGGAGCATCCTCAAAAGACTGAGTTTCCTCACCTACTCTGCCCCATCCCCTGCCTTGAAGGCCTTATCACAGGTGTGGAGAAGCTGTTTCCCTCCAGATGTTGCTGAACTACAGTTCCCACCAGCCCTGGCAAGCATGGTGAATGGTATGGGGTGATGGGGCTGTCACTGAGCAACATCTGGAGGGCCAAATTTTCCCCATTTCTGCCTTATAAGAAGTAGTGGTAAGGTAAAGGTAAAGGGACCCCTGACCATTAGGTCCAGTCGTGACCGACTCTGGGGTTGCGGCGCTCAACTCGCTTTATTGGCCGAGGGAGCCAGCGTACAGCTTCCGGGTCATGTGGCCAGCATGATTAAGCCGCTTCTGGCAAAGCAGAGCAGCGCACGGAAACGCCGTTTACCTTCCTGCCGGAGCGGTACCAATTTATCTACTTGCACTTTGACATGATTTTGAACTGCTATGTTGGCAGGAGCAGGGACCGAGCAACGGGAGCTCACCCTGTCGCAGGGATTCGAACCGCCAACCTTCTGATCGGCAAGTCCTAGGCTCTGTGGTTTAACCCACAGCGCCACCTGCATCCCTCGGTAGGAGAGGTCTATCTGGTGGAGGTTGATCTGGTTGCCTTGAACCCTGTCTCCTTGGCAAGAGAGCAGGACTATCAGAGCAAGGTAAGACTGTTTCGTTTCCACCTAGCCGCCTCCTCTCTTCTTATCACCTTTGTCAGATGAGCGCAATGACTGGGTAGCTAAACTAACAGGTTCTGATCTAGTAGAACAGCAACTGCAGGTCACCGAGGAGAAAGAATGAATACTCTTTTAACATCTAGTTTCTGCTCCTCACATTAATGCTTTTCCAGGAACTGCAACAGATGAGGGGTCCTGAGCCTTTTGGTAACTGTTCATGGACACATCATGGACTCCAGGTCAGGCAGAAGAGACAACAGAAGAGACAACAGAGAGACCCCCAAGGGAGAGTCTTTAGAATCCAGCTTGTCCATCCCACATGAGTTTTCCTCCAGGAAACAGTGAGAACCACACTAGGAGCTGTAGCGTCTAACCCTGAAATGGGTGTGGAGGTCCTTTACCACCAAGACTCTGATAGCTACCACAAGTTCCTGACCTTGACAGTCAAGTCTGGGTGGTAGAAGGTATCTCCTGGACCTCTTGCAAATGGTGGTTTGGATGGGTAGCCCCACATAGGGGACACCAGATGGAACTTTCCCATGGGTATTGCCACTTTTGGGAACAAAGACAAGGGCACCACCCTATTTCTCAGTCAGATGATGTTGGACTCCTCTTGTGAAAGTAGCAGAGATAATTGTTTTGTTTGTCCCAAACTCATACCCTCCATTAATTCACATATTGGGAGGTTTAAAGTACCCTCATCCTCACTCTGAAAGCCTGACCCAATATGTGTGACGCCACATCTTTTCCAAGCTGTATGCTACATTAAATCACACTGCAGCAGCATGTAAGCATCAGAAGGAGGTGTATTAGGTAAACTGAATATAACATTTTAAAAAGTCAAGAACATTTAATCAGAATGTTTCATCTTAAAACATATCTACAAGTAATTATAGCATAATTGCAACTCAGGCACATCTAGTCATTGTTAATTAAATGTGAATTAATCAATTTGTTTACATTTACTGTCTCGAAAGTCAGCTTTGGGACAGATGCAAATGTGTTGACATTAGCAATTGCTTTTAAAAAGCATCCCCCAAAGAGACAGAAACCAGGGGCTGCCCTTAGTAAATAGGGACAGGTGGATCGTTTGCCACATATAGAATTAATGTGTAAGCTGTGGGGCTTTCCTTGCATTTGAGCCAGAAGCTGCAGTTAGTGCAGAATGGTACAGCATGATTGCTGACCAGAGTGAGGCCATGTCAGCATATGACACCTGTGCTCAGAGACCTGTTTGTTGATTTGCTAGCAAAATAAATTCAAGTGCTACTATTAGTATGGTAAAAAAACGTAAAGGACCCCTGGATGGTTAAGTCCAGACAAAGATGACTATGGGGTTGTGGCGCTCATCTCGCTTTCAGGCCGAGGGAGCCGGTGTTTGTCCTCAGACAGCTTTCCGGGTCATGTGGCCAGCATGACTGAAATGCTTCTGGCGCAACGGTACACCGTGACGAAAACCAGAGCACACAGAAACGCCGTTTATCTTCCCCACCACAGTGGTGCCTATTTATCTACTTGCACCAGCATGCTTTTGAACTGCTAGGTTGGCAGGAGCTGGGACCGAGCAACGGGAGCTGACCCCGTCGTGGGGATTCAAACTGCCAACCTTCCGATCGGCAAGGCCAAGAGGCTCAGTGGTTTAGACCACAGCACCACCCACATAACTATTACTATTAGTATATAAAGCCCTTAACAGCTTGGGACTAGTTTATCTGCAAGATCGCCTTACCCCTTATATGTCCACTTGACTACTTTGATCTGCAGAACTGGCACTTACAGGTATCACATAATAACTGTTCTGCATTTGTAAGAAATCAATCTTTAAGTGTAACAGCACTTAATCTTTGGAAGTCCCTCCCTATTGACATCGGGCAGGCACCTTGATTGTACTCTCTTTGTTGTTGTTTAGTCGTTTAGTCGTGTCCGACTCCTCATGACCCCATGGACCAGAGCATGCCAGGCACTCCTGTCTTCCGCTGCCTCCTGCAGTTTCCCGCAGTTTACTCTCTTTAGTACCTCCTAAAAACACTTGTTTAGGCAAACAATTTCCCAGATATGGATATCATTTTCCCACTAGTGATGTATGGAAGTGAGAGTTGGACCATAAAGAAGGCTGATCGCCGAAGAATTGATGCTTTTGAATTATGGTGCTTGAGGAGACTCTTGAGAGTCCCATGGACTGCAAGAAGAACAAACCTATCCATTCTTAAGGAAATCAGCCCTGAGTTCTCACTGGAAAGACAGATCCTGAAGCTGAGACTCCAATACTTTGGCCACCTCATGAGAAGAGAAGACTCCCTGGAAAAGACCCTAATGTTGGGAAAGATGGAGGGCACAAGGAGAAGGGGAAGGCAGAAGACGAGATGGTTGGACAGTGTTATCGAAGCTACCAACATGAGTTTGACCAAACTGCGGGAGGCAGTGGAAGACAGAAGTGCCTGGCGTGCTCTGGTCCATGGGGTCACGAAGAGTCGGACACAACTAAACGACTAAACAACAACATGATCACCCCACATAAAAGCAATTGCCCAAGAAGCCAGGGTGATGGCGGTGTGCCACCTTGGCATGATGGCATTACTCCGCCCACGCCAGGGGAGGGGGAACCGGCCTGGGGGCCTGCCCCCAATCAGGACCATCCTTAAAGATGATCCCACTTGCTGATCTGTACACCCCTTGATTTTAAGAAGTTTGCACTGACCCACAGTAACTGCTTTTATAGAGGTGGTTGTTCATTTGTGGAACGCCATCCCAGGTGAGGTGTGTCTGTTTCTTCCATTATAGACTTCCAGGAGTAATATATATGCATTCCTGTTTACCCAAGCATTTGATGGCTGATACGGCAACCATGAAATTAATAACTGACAAGCAGATTATGTGCTTCTCAGAATTTTGCAATGTGTTTTCAGTTTTAAAAATGCACACAGACTTGAATATTTTATTGAAAATATTCATACGAAAAGCATATTTTAGGGGAAATGCCTCGAAAAGCATACAGCGTGTTGTTTTAGAGAAAGGTTGTGCATAAATGCACATTTTTGTGGGTTTTTAATTGCAAAAAAACCCCCAGAATAGAAGGGTCCTTGTGACTGAGGGAAGGTGAAACTGACAGGAAACCAGTGCATTCTGCTCCATCCATCCCTAATGATTACATGTAACTGTTATATACAGATAAAGAAAGTTAAAAATGGATATTTGCTTCAAGCATTTTACATACTGGGGAAATGGCTGACTCCCCCCCCCCCCTTCCGCCAGAGTAACTGTACATCTTGTAGATGTTTGCAAGCCAAATGCAAATCGGGGTTTCTTCCCCCCACCCAATCTCTCTGAAAAATAAAAATCCTTGCTTAGAATGCATACGCAAGCTTCAGAATTTCATTTTCAGAGATGCTTTGAAAGCTGTCCAGGCTCAAAGAAATAAATTGCTTCTTTGTGAAGTTCCATTTATTAAAATTGCTTTTAGGGCTTGTGGCCAAATTATATACATTTCTAAGGGAGGTGTTGTTTCATAAACCCCTCTGTTTTTTGAGCACCAATACTAGACTACTTCACGGCTGATTCAAATGTTCTGAGGAGAGATAACTCAAGGGACTACACATCACCTCAGAATTTGTGTGTGTGTGTGTGTTCTGAAAGCACCACTCAATGAAAACCATGCACCATCTCAGTTATTTTTATGTTTTTATTATTTATAAATATACATGGCACTATAGAATTCTGTAAATGAAACCACTATAATACAGATATCTACCCCAAATAGTTTGCAGTCTAAGATGGTCAGGAAGATTGCACAGGGTGTAGGGGTTAGAAAAAGCTAGCAAGGGATGAAGTCGATTTAAGCTTGGCTTAGGGATGCTTCTGGAATTCTCATCCATATTATTACCTGAATTTTTGAATTCTGAATAACTCTGTTCTTTTTCTAAAATATCATCTTATTGGTAGAACCTGAGACTCCTGATCTCAGGACCATGGGTTTGAGCCCTGTGTTGGACAAAATATTCCTACATTGCAGAGGGTTAGATTAGATGACCCTTGTGGTACCTTCCAATTCTACGATTCTAAACACCACTTTGTCAGAATTGTGCATTAAGAATCTTTCCTTGTTTCATTTGCAATTTCCAAATTTTGTACAGAATGCTGTACATGCATCTCAGCTATAAATACAGTTTTGACCAATGGATGAGATTTACAGGTTCCCAATCCATTTCCAAGCTCAATTCATGGTGCTGGCAATTACCCATAATGTCCTTCACAGTTTGTGACCTAAGACCTGAAAGAATAGCTGCTTCCATAGCAACCTGCTTCTGTACAAAAAGGTCATCTAGAGATGTTGGTCTCTGAGTGCTCTCCTACTGGAGAAGAGGACATTTTTGGTCTGGCAACTAATAATTGAACCACCTTTTCAAGGATGTTCACTTGGTGCCTTGACTGCTATGTATTATCACCATATTATCATCATCGTCTACACAATCTTCTCATTCACAATAAAAATAAAAGACACACACACACAAAAACACAAAAACATCAGATATGTTTAAAACAAAAACGATGCAAAATACAAATTCACGGCAGAGATCCAGTCATCCTTATTATTGTTGTTGTTGTTTACTCCTTTAGTCGTGTCTGACTCCTCGTGACCCCATGGACCAGAACACACCAGGCACTCCTGTCTTCCACTGCCTCCCGCAGTTTGGTCAAACTCATGTTGGTAGATTCAAGAACACTGTCCAACCATCTCGTCCTCTGTCGTCCCCTTCTCCTTGTGCCCTCAATCTTTCCCAACATCAGGGTCTTTTCCAGGGAGTCTTCTCTTCTCATGAGGCCTCAGCTTCAGGATCTGATTTTCCAGTGAGAACTCAGGGCTGATTTCCTTAAGAATGGATAGGTTTGATCTTCTTGCAGTCCATGGGACTCTCAAGAGTCTCCTCCAGCACCACAATTCAAATAATTTATTATTTATTATTATTATTATTAATAATAATAATAATACCCCACCCATCTGGCTGGGTTTCCCAGCCAGCTCCCAACAGAATGTTAAAAACATGATAAAACATCAAACATTAAAAACTTCCCAAAACAGGACTGCCTTCAGATGTCTTCTAAAAGTCAGATGGTGGTTTATTTCCTTGACATCTATGGGACGGCGTTCCACAGAGCGGGTGCCACTACCGAGAAGGCCCTCTGCCTGGTTCCCTGTAACTTCACTTCTCTCAGTGAGGAAACTGCCAGAAAGCCCTTGGCACTGGACCTCAGTGTCCGGGCTGAATGATGGGGGTGGAGAAGCTCATTGTGGGGTGAATATTCTCAGTTGCCAGTGGGTGCCTGCCATAGCTTGATCAGAATGTTGTATCTTCACAGAACATGGACAGCTACACTCAAAGCCCTGCTGTAAGTTCCATGCCGTTGGAAGTATATTTGGAACTTCCAGAAGAACCTGTCCATTTCTGAGCGTTCTTTAGGGTTGCCCATTGTTGGAAATAGAATGTTGGGCACCTTGGACTCTTGGCCAGCTCTGACCTAACCAGTCAGTTGCCTTTGTGATTCTTAGATCTTCATTTTCCATCTCTCCATTTATAAGCTTTGAGCAGTTACAAAACTATTTCTTGAAATTCACTTCCATTCTGAAGGGCCACTTCCTATGTGTGTTGGACTCGCTGATGCTCCACCAAGTGTGATTTGAGTCCAGATGCTTTTCCAACGTCACTTCAGCTAGAAAGCGTCCCTTCCCCCATCCGTGTGAATTATCTGATGAATGGTAAGTACAGAGTTTCAAAAGCATCCTCTCCCACACAGTGCATTTGTAAGGTGCTTCACCTCTGTGCCACCTCTGATGACGAACAGATGTTGAGCACAAAGGAAAATGTTTTAGATAGGGGCTTTTAAAAGAGCGTCTCTCCTGATACGGAAGGGGGGGCATGTCTTCTTCTTCACCTTCTTCTTCGCTACAATATATCCATTTATTTCCAATTGCCAATGTCAAAAGGGACTAAAATCTATAAAATTCATAGAAAATCAACGTGCCAATTTGCTCAATTTCTCTAGGACTCCATGACACCTCCCCTGTCCTCCATAATCCCTCAAGCAAGGTGTAAAGACCCTAATCCTGTCAAATCGCTCTGCCAAGCCCTTCTTCCGGGCGATGCCAGGTGACAGACTATGCATACATGGACCATTGTCTTCTCAGGATGTGCTTATCTGTGCATATCTCCAGCTCTGCATATTCCCCTCTCCCTCCTCCATATGTTAATCCGGTGTAACCCAACCTCTTCCTAATGTATTCGTGATGTAATCTGTGCAACCCAACCTCTTCTTAATGTATTCATGATGTAACTGGGATGTATTTTACACTGTATTCTGGGACATGGAGGGAAATTTCAAAAGTTCATGTCACCCCTTTCTCGCTGTTCAATCTCGCCTTGAACCTGTTGCGCAATAAACTTGGATGTTCTGCAGTTTGCTCCTGTCTCCGGCTGAGCTCATTTTCTTCCGCAGGGACCCGCGGACTTAGTCCGACGAGCTGGGTGGCAGAGTAGCCTCGCACTCAGATTTTACCGTAACACTCCTTAGTGGATCTTCTGATCGTTGAAAAAAGTACAGCTTCAACGGCAACGTCAATCACATATGTTTGCTCTGCAACCCAGATTGATTTTGTGGCAGACAGTGATATTCTAGGGTTTAGTGAAACCCTTTTTTCTTCTCTTCTTTTTGAATGAATTGATTTATATCACTTCTTTGCTGAAGATTTTTGTTGTGGGTGTTCCTGCCTCTGCAGAATACTGAAGGCATGCCTCAAGAGACAAATTTGACAAGTATCACCTTTAAGCCTTGTCAGTAACTTCTCATTAAGTTCTGCTTCCTCCAGAAACACTTATTGTGGGCCCCCTTTTCTTGTTTTTCTTCTTCTTCTCTTGAGCTTATCAACACTCCAAGTGTGATTAGCATCTTGTCAGGCTTCAAGATAAACCTTGTCTGCTGAATAGTACCAGAAATCAACCTTCGGCAGCAGTTAAAATCAAGGGGTTCTGTTTTACTGGATGATATCAGTGAAAAATAAGGGGGATGAGTGCTTATTGTAAAGATGGGATGGAGAAAACCAATATGGACATATTTTGTCTGTTTGAGTTTCTTTGATGGAAAAATCCATATGAAGAATTTCCTTCAAGACAGCAGTTGTTTTGTTTTTGTTTCTTAGCTTATGCTCAATGGAAAAAGCAGCTACTTAAATCTCATCATTTCTTCTCTGAAACCAAAGTCCTGATTTTGGCATAGAATTTTGGCAGGACAATCCCAACTCTTACCAGGCAGTGGTGGGGTGTGATAAGAGTGCTGGACAGGGCTGAAGCAGCTGCCATGGTAGCAGAATCTCACAGGGAGCACCCCTTGCCAGTGTCCTGCCTGCCACTGCCACTGCTGCCACATGGCAGGAGCTTCTCAGAAGCTGCCACTGCCAGGGTGCGACCCCAGTAAGCAAGGCTTTGGCAGGGGATGGAGGGAACGTACCTGTTTCACCTCAGATGGTGAAATGGGCCAAATAGCTCTAAAGTATGGTTACCAGACATCCCCGTTTCCCAGGGACAGTCCCCAGATTTACAAATCTGTCCCCGGACAAAATCCGTCTCCGGAATGTCCCTGGATTTCATTGAATGTCTCTGGATTTATATTTTAAGCGTTGTGGATTTATTAGTAGGGAATGAATGTTGTGTGATTGGTTCAACGGCACAAGACACATCATATGGGGACTTCCAGGGAGGCAAAATGGCGGGCGACATGGCAGCGAGAAGCTCCTGAAGCCAGCCAGAGCCAATTGCACTACCAGGCTGTCTCCAGGCTGCTGAGACTGCTGCTGCCACCGCCACTGTTGAGGGGGAACTGGGGACGCCCAGTGTGTCAACTGGGGGAACTGCTGACCCTCCCCGTGACCCAAATCGAGCCAGGAACAAGAGCGCCTGGCCATCCAGCCGACTGCCCATCAGCACTCGGGGGCCAGGAAAACCCCAGAGCCGACGCAGGGAGAAGGAGGAGAGGAGGAGAAGGAAGAGAGAGAAAGAGGAAGGAGAAAAAAGAGGGGAGCCATACCCTTGCCCCGCCCCTGCCACCACTGAGGAGGAGAGGTAGAAGAGCACCGGGAGGGCAAGGACACATGGCCGAGTCCAGGCCCGACCCGAGCCTACTCCACAGTGGCTAGCGCTTCCAAGAGAGCAGGCCAGGGCCCAGAGGAAGGCCGTGTGACAGAGTAAGTAACTAACAGAGTAATACTTTTTTTAAAATAAAAAAAAAGTGTCCCCGGATTCTTTGGAAAAAATCTGGTAACCTTACTCTAAAGTCATATTTTTCTTTTTTTTAAAAAAAAAAATATTTATTACTTTTCCAACAATTTAAACACTACAAAAACAATACAATACAATACAAAAACACTACATAACATTGACACAGTAAACACATTGAACCAACAAAACAAAACAAAAACAGTAAAATAAATCAAACAATTTCATTATCCCATCTTTCATTCACTTATTTCCACGACCTCCTCACACCTCCCTTTTTGTATTCCACTTCTGTTAATTGTTTCAGCAATTCCTTTCCATCTTCCTCTGTTTTCTATCCTTTAATTATCTTAACACATTCTAACCTTATTTTTTCCTTTAATACTCTATTAATCTATTTATACTTAATTCCTTATAACATTTCTACTAAAGCCATATAACTTCATTCCAACATTTTTCTAACATTCATTAATTTTACAGTATTTCTGTAAATAGTCTTTAAACTTTTTCCAATCTTCTTCCACCAACTCTTCTCCCTGGTCTCGGATTCTGCCAGTCATTTCCGCCAGTTCCATATAATCCATCAACTTCATCTGCCATTCTTCCCGGGTAGGTAAATCTTGTGTCTTCCAATACTTCGCGATAAGTATTCTTGCTGCTGTTGTTGCATACATAAAAAAGGTTCTATCCTTCTTTGGCACCAATTGGCCGACCATGCCCAGGAGAAAGGCCTCTGGTTTCTTCAGGAAGGTATATTTAAATACCTTTTCATTTCATTATAAATCATCTCCCAGTATGTCTTCATCCTTGGGCATGTCCACCAAAGGTGAAAAATGTACCTTCAGTCTCATTACATTTCCAACATTTATTGTCGGGCAAATGGTAAATTTTTGCAAGCTTGACTGGTGTCATGTACCACCTATAAATCATTTTCATTAAATTTTCTCTTAGGGCATTACATGCCGTGAATTTCATACTAGTGGTCCATAACTGTTCCCAGTCAGCCATCATTATATTATGTCCAACATCTTGTGCCCATTTAATCATGGCTGATTTCACCGTTTCATCCTGAGTGTTCCATTTCAACAGCAAGTTATACATTCTTGACAAATTCTTGATTTTAGGATCTAACAGTTCTGTTTCCAATTTTGATTTTTCCACCTGGAAACCAACTTTTTTGTCCAAATTGTATGCCTCCATTATTTGGTAATAATGGAGCCAATCTCGCACTTTATTTTTCAATTTTTCAAAACTCTGCAATTTTAGTCTGTCTCCCCCTTGTTCCAAAATTTCCCAATATTTCGGCCATTTGGCCTCCATATTGAGTTTTTTCTGTGCCTTCGCTTCCATTGGTGACAACCATCTTGGGGTTTTCTTTTCTAACAAATCTTTATATCTTATCCAAACATTAAACAATCTAAAGTCATATTTTTCAATGCAGCTCTTTGGTTTCTGAAATTCATTCGGATTGTGCAGACAAAATATCATGAATAGTATTCTACAGGACACATTGCTAGTGTGCAAAAATAGTCAAGATTCAACAATCCCCAGGCATGCACCTCCAGATGGTGGAGATGTCAGGTGCCATCCTGGTGTCCGGGAATCTTCACTTGGTCGCAAATGGTTGATAGCCAGGTACATAATGAGCCTGGCGCCTGGCAAATTTCTAATGCTGGGATCTTGCCAGCAGAACTTCTACCTATCCAGTGGCAACTAACACGGACAGAGATGTTGTTTCTCCATTGTTGGAGGCATATGCTTCTAAATATCAGTTGCTGGAAACCACAGGAGGGGAGAATATTATTGTGCTCAGGTTCTGCTTGTGGGTTTCCCAGATGCATCCGGTTGGCTACTGTGAGAACAGGATGCTGAGTAGATGAACCATTGGCCTGATCCAACAGTCTCTTCCTACGTTATTGTCAGGGACTGGACAGAGGAGGAATGGTGGAGACCGCCTCCCCAGCCTGAACCTTCCAGAGAAGAGGAAGACAGTATAGATTTACAACAGTGGTTGTAAATCACAGCTCAAAGGAAGATGAGGGGGAAAGTTGGGAAATAATGGGAGAAAAGGAGGATGAGGAGGCAGAGCCGGAGCAGCTGGCTGACACGTTATCACTAGAAAGCATTCCAGACCCCCCCCCTTCTCCCAGATCCTGGCAAGCCTTAAAAGTAGGAGAGCAAAGAGCTCAAAGGCAGATGAATAGAGGTAAAATAGAGGACAAATGAGGAAGTGGGAGAGAAGGGGGTGTAGATTTACTTGGAGCAACACCATTACTCCAAGAGGCTGTGTTTCTAAGCCTCTCTCTGTGAATATTGAATAAACAATATTGGTAAGAACTTTCCTTGTCTTATCCATTCCTGGCAACCTACCGTTGGGGATTGGTTCCTCTGATGTTTGACAGATATGTTCTTTATTAGAATGGAGGTCTGAATTTCTATTCCATTGCCAAATATTGATCTCCAACTGGTGCTGCTGGCTAAAAAATAGAGAGAAAGACTGGCCACCGTGACGTTTTGCTGGAACTGCCTGTCTGAAAGAGGGAGGTTGGCCATCATGGCTTTTGTGACTCTCATTCAAAGGAAGAATGAATAATAATAATAATAATAATAATAATAATAATAATAATCATTTTTTATTTATACCCTGCCCTCCCCAGCCAAGGCCGGGCTCAGAGCGGCTTACAAGCAATAATAAAAACAAGATGAATGATTACAACTTAAAAACAAAAATAAAATACAACATTAAAATAATGGAACATTAAAATATTAAAATGTAGCCTCATCACAGGAAGAGAAGGAAAAGAAAAAAGAAAGAGAGGGAGGGAGGGAATCAAATTGGCTCCAAGCCAAAGGCCAGGCGGAACAACTCTGTCTTACAGGCCCTGCGGAAAGAAATCAGATCCTGCAGGGCCCTGGTCTCATGAGGCAGAGCGTTCCACCAGGCTGGAGCCAGAGTTGAAAAGGCCCTGGCTCTGGTTGAAGCCAATCTAACTTCCTTAGGGCCCGGGACCACTAGGGTGTTGCTATTTATGGACCTTGAGGCTCTCCGTGGAGCATACCGGGAGAGGTGGTCCCATAGGTACGAGGGTCCTAGGCCGTGATATATATAGGTATATATCTCGGTAATACCTGTATATATGTATGTATTTTGTTTTTCTAGCTTGATCAAAATTATTTATTATTTCATAACAGATAGATAGTTAAGAGCTTAGGCGGCTTCAGCGGTGGGCACCTGGTGTCCCCCAGTATTTGGTACCCGGGTGCCTCACACCCCTTGCATCCCTGGGTAAAGACGGCCCTGCCACTCAGTGCCTATCCCATTTTGGAGAATGTCAATTCTGCAAATAAGACAAAGCTTCTTAAATGCAGGCAGGACATGGGATGAGTCTTACTCTCTTCCAGTCAGTTGCTTCATGAACAGGTAGGTAGCTGTAGGCAAGTAAGCAGCCAGCAAGTGATGATATTAAAGTATCACACAACCCATACTATAAACACAGTTGAGATACTAGCAGCATTTTCTGCCTCCTCTCCTTGAACTTTTCCATCCTTGGTGGTCGTTATAGCAACTTGTAACTAAGGACTTGAACCTGAATTTGCTTATTTTCTCCTCACTTCCAGTCCTCCCCCCCCCCCGTCCTGCACTTATAGACTGTGAGACTGAGGGCAGGAGCTGTTTTTTTGGGTGGTGGTGGGGTTTGCCCCAGTGATTTATAAGCTGTTCTCATAGTCTTTTTTAAAAAAGATATTTATATCCATAAAAACCACATAAAATAATAACTTGAGAAGTGACGCAGTTATTCCTGTAGAAAACAATGATAAACTCAAGCTAAAAGAAATTAAAAATGCAAAACTAAAGTTTCATTAAAATGTTACCTCCTCCCACCAAAAACATAGTGTCTAACAGTCTTTATTTCCTAGACTGAGTGTTTTTTAATACATGGCAATTGTCCCTGGTGAATCATGTTATCTATTTTGTCCCTTGTGGGGGGGGGGGGAGGGAATTTTAAAAATGTGTGTATACACTCATATATGTGTAATAGAGTGCTCTCTTCAACCCCTCCAAATGCCTAGTCAGATAGTAAATGCTGCTTAATTGGTTTTAAATATAATTATTCTATAAGTACAACTAGATATATTGTGAGACAAAATGCTCTTAAGTTATTTCAAGTACCTCGGGTTACATACACTTCAGGTTACGTACGCTTCAGGTTACAGACTCTGCTAACCCAGAAATATTGCTTCAGGTTAAGAACTTTGCTTCAGGATGAGAACAGAAATTGTGCTTCGGCGGCGCGGCAGCAGCAGGAGGCCCCATTAGCTAAAGTGGTGCTTCAGGTTAAGAACAGTTTCAGGTTAAGTACGGACCTCCGGAATGAATTAAGTACTTAACCCGAGGTACCACTGTACCATACTTTAACACACACTAACACAAACACACCTAAGGAGAGTAAACACTTAAAAATAAATGTTTTGGTGGGAAAATGCAGAATGAGCTGCTGAAGATTAGGTGAAGAAGAGTATTCAGCAACATGTAACTGGAGAAGGATGCTCAGGTAATGACTTTTTTGTGAGAGAATAAATGTGTTACAACATGCATGAGTCATCCTGTTTTCATCTGTGAAATGTGAAATCTGTGAAGGTACGCAAAATGCTTCCTTTAGGTCATGCACTGATGAAAAGTATATTTGAGGAAAGACATGAAAGGGGAGTCTCTCATTCTTGAGCTACTGGAAAGACTAGGAATAATTCTCTTTCTGCATTCTTCAATTAATATCAAAAGGTGCTGGTCAGCCGAAAGCATTATCCAGGCTCCTTGCTCATGGATCTGTTCCCTTTTTGTTGTTTGACTTTTGTTTCCTGAGCTCGGCAAGAAAAATTCTGCTAAAGAAGGATATTTGAACTGTTAAAGGTTATTTCACCTTCAGTCATCCGAACATTGACTGATGATACACTTGACACTGGCTAACAGTATCTAATATTTTAATAAGCAAGGTGAAAGATGGCTTATTTGATTTTGTGATATTGTGAGAGAGATGTCTTTAATGAATTGATCTTTGCTCTCATCTTAATTCTCAGACCTGAAATCCCCTATATAAACTAACCAAGTGACACTGTGCTATCTAGAGCCTCTATATATCCCCTCTGCACGTCTGCCAATTATAAGCAGAGAACTCTGTCTCTGGGAGTCAGTCAACATGAAAGCCTTTAGACCTGCTATCCTCCAACTGTTTTGAACTACAACTCCCATCAGCCCCAGCAAGCACATGGAAGCTGGAAGCCAAAACAGCTGGAGAGCACTGGGTTGCAGAAGGCTGCCACAGACCATGATCACCACAGACCATATGCCATAGACCATAAGCATAAAGCAGCCTGCTAATCAAGACTTCCAAGTTCCACCTTACCTGACATCACAATGACATGAGGAGATTGAAAGGTGGGAAATCCTACAGATATGTCAAATTTGGCCTCTCAGGAGTTGGAGAGATAATGCTCTGGCCCACTGTGCAGAAAAGTTTCTCCACCTCTGGCATATGAGAATGTGCCTTTTACGGTGCAGGATACTTCCAATGACCAATGTGAAATAATTTTCATATCTACCGGTAAATCATACATATTTCAATTGCTACATTGTTGTTGTTGTTGTTACTACTTACCGTACTTTTCCGTGTATAAGACTAGGTTTTTTTCTTGAAAAAGAATGCTTAAAAATGGGGGTCGTCTTATACATGGGTAGTGAATTGGGCTGACGTTTGATTGGTTGCTGCTGCGGCTGCTAGTGGTTGCTGCGTCAATGAGTGGTGGTGATTGGCTGACACTGTGGCAATAGGGCAGACAATTGGCAGCTTCTGCCGGCGAGGGGACAGACGGGAGGTGGTTTTAGCGACATGTGTGGGTGTGTGATTTTTGGCACACCCCCCCCCCCAAAGTAGCTCTACAATTCTGGGCAATCCTCCACAAATAAAGCTCAACAACTCTGTGCCATCTCTCCCCATTTTCTGAAATTTGAGTCCCCCAAAATAGGGCATCTTATACATGGGGGCATCTTATAGATGGAAAAGTATGGTAATTACAATTCTATATTGTTATTCTGTTCTGTTTTACTACATTACATTCCTTTCCTGTTACCTTCCTTAATAGGATAGTCCATGGCTTTTGGAAAAGAGTCTGATAAAAATGATGACAATAAATTAATAAAACCATACAATATGATCAATTTAATAGATGAAGACATGGAATAGCTTGCACACAGAGGGCTGGGTTTCCTCTAACAAAGTCAGATTCAAAGTAAACCCAAAATTAATGGACCTAAGCTAGTCATGTTAATTCAATTCAATGGGTCAACTCTGAGCAGGACTAGCATTAGTTACAATTCAGATTCTGTGAGTTTAGTGCTACATGTTGCTGCTGTTAAAAGTGTCAGTTTTCCTTGCCAAGTGATGCACTGACATGATCTAATAAACATCTTTGGCATACAAGGATCACGAGAAGCAGACCACTGGTGGTTTGTCCTAGACTGGAGCATCTAATACTCAGCATTTGCATAATATTATTTGAGTGCTTAACAGTGTTCCACAAAACCTCTCAGTAATTCTTACTGAAAAACCTGTAAGGTAGATCAGTATTATCTCAGTACTGCCAGTATGGTGGGGAAAAGTCTAAGAGAGTCACCGTCTTGAGTTCATAGTAGGGGTAAGAACTGAACCAGAGCCATCCAGAGGCTCAGTCCCTCAGCCACAAGAACTGCCTTCAAAGAGGCAGAGGACAATTTTAGCAGGTGTCCCTGGAATAGTTTTTATTATTATTACTCCACTGGCGTATGAGTGAGTTGGAGAAAGGTAATCTAAAATGTAATCTAAGGCTACCGAATCGAAAGATAGCATTTCTATTTCCTTTAATACCTATTTTCTTTTCAGGTAGAATCCTTAAGAAATCTGACATTTCTCTCACATCTCCAACAGGTTTCTCTCACCATATCTATTACACTGGAATGCTCCGCTATGTTTTGAGTTTGGGGAGCATGTGCTTATGATAAAAAGAAGACAGCCCCAACCCCTCTCATTCATGTCGATACAGTGATACCTTGGTTTACAACCATAATCTGTTCCAGAGGTCTGGTTGAAACCAAAACAGGTTGTAACCCAAGGTGCGCTTTCGCCAATGGGGCCTCCCCCCCAAAAAAAAATTGGTTGTAATTCTAAAAAGGGGGGTTGTAATCCCAAAAAAGAGACATGGGTGGTGCTGTGGGTTAAACCACAGAGCCTAGGACTTGCCAATCTGAAGGTTGGCGGTTCAAATCCCTGTGATGGGGTGAGCTCCCGTTGCTCGGTCCCTGCTCCTGCCAACCTAGCAGTTCAAAAGCACGTCAAAGTGCAAGTAGATAAATAGGTACCGCTCCGACGGGAAGGTAAACGGTGTTTCCGTGCACTGCTCTGGTTCGCCAGAAGCAGCTTAGTCATGCTGGCCACATGACCCGGAAGCTGTACACCGGCTCCCTCGGCCAGTAAAGCGAGATGAGCGCCGCAACCCCAGAGTCGGCCACGACTGGACCTAACGGTCAGGGGTCCCTTTACCTTTCTCACTTCCATACATCACTACTGGGAAAACCATACCTTTTACTATATGGACCTTTGTTGGCAAGGTGATGTCTCTACTTTTTAAGATGCTGTCTAGGTTGAGACTCCTTAGGGTAGTGATAAAGTGGGATATCAAATCCAAACTCTTCTTCTTCTTCTTCCCTAACATGGTGACCTCCAGATGTTGTTAGACACCAGCTTCCTACAGTCCCACCTGGCAGGGCCAATGGTCAGGAATTTTTGGAGTTGCAGTCCAGAACATGTGGAAGGCATCAGGCTGAGGAAGATTGACACAGGACATCTTTCCTCCTTTGGCTCTATTTAGGTATGCAAGTACACACAGGCATCCCACTTCAGTACATCAAGCATCCCACTCCAAAGTTATTTATGGTTATCTCTTTGTTTTGCCGGGGATGTGCAATTAAGCAATCTTGCTCTATTCTTGCTTCCTGAACATTAAAAAGTGATTTAAAAACGCTAACTGGGATTGGCCTCATCCAACTCTCACTGATTGCACAGAGAGACTGCAGTGGGAGTAGTGACACATCCTGTTGAGTAGCTTTGCAAAATGTGGTTACCAGATGTAAGCAAATATTTGTAAATGCAAGGAAAACAAACGTAGAAACATAGAAACTTAGAAACTACCAAGTATCAGGGATTGGCTGGATGAAGAGGAGGCACCAGCTGGGGAAACCCCTAGGGAAGCCTCAGAGGAGGAAGGCTTAGAGCCTGGAGAGTGGCGATGGGACACTGAGGACAGGTTAGAGGATGAAGGGAGCGCAGAATGGTCGGAGGCCGAAGAAGCAACAAGTTTCACTGAGAGAGAAAAGCCAGATGCAGAAGACAACGCCGACTCAGGACAAGAAGTTGAGGAGGGGCCAGAGGCTGCAGAAGCATCCACGAAGCTTGCCTTAATAATAATAATAATAATAATAATAATAATAATAATTCATTTTCTATACCCCATCCATCTGGCTGGGTTTCCCCAGCCACCCTGGGCAGCTCCAGACATAATATTAAAAACATGAGAAAACATCGAACATTAAAAACTTCCCTAAGCAGGACTGCCTTCAGATGTCTTCTAAAAGTCAGATAGTTGTTTATTTCCTTGACATCCGAAGGGAGGGCATTCCACAGGGTGGGTGCCACCACCTAGAAGGCCCTCTGCCTGGTTCCCTGTAACCTCACGTCTCACAGTGAGGGAACTGCCAGAAGGCCCTTGGCGCTGGACCTCGGTGTCTGGGCTGAACAATGTGGGTGGAGATGCTCCTTCAGGTACTGGGCCAAGGCCATTTAGGGCTTTAAAGGTCAGCACCAACACTTTCCTACTGTAGTAAGCTTGCATCTCCATTGTATCCAAGGTCACAGAGAGCTTGGCCCTTCCCTGATATAGTTTAAGGTTGCTTGGGAGACACCCGACTGGGAAGGAGACTTAGTGGGAAGTAGAAGGCAAAGACCTTCAGTCCTTGGGGTAGCCAGTCCTGTTTGTAGGCATTGCTGCCTAGTATGCTGTTTTCTGGAATAAAGAGCTAACTTCTCTGCATCTTGAGTGCTGACCTGCATCTGAACCAGCCCTGACACCAAGGTAAATACTGTAGATTAAAATATACCCTTTTTTAAAAAAAAGAAATGCTACCATAATTTTGAGATAATTTATAATTGCATGGCCTTGCCTTTTCAACTGGTCAAGGCCTTGTTCAGCTTGCTCTAATCAAACCCAGCAGTGGGTCTTATCTTCCATATAAATCAATGCAAATTACTATCCATCTTGACTAAACTAATTTTCAAGGCAGCAGGGAATGAGCAGAAATTGTCTTGAGTTGCTTCCATTAAAGCTTTCCTCCCCATTCTTCAAAACTTTGTTTCCAAAGGGATCTTTCCCTATTTGCCCAGATGAATCTATTCTATACATCTTTTCAATTTCTTATTCCCCAATATGGCTTCTTCTTTTCAGAACAGGTTCTCTAAAGATGTTTCTTGTAACACCCCCTGCTTGTGCCTACCATTGTTGATTTCACAATCGTTTCAAGATTCTTCTTTCCCTGCTCCTTAAATTCACTTAAGAAAGGGTAGTCTCCTTTCCACCAAAGATTCCTGCAGGGATTCTCTACACAGCAATTCTCTTAGATCATGTTTCTGATCTAGGTCCTTTAAAGAAATGAGCAATAATGTACTCTTATGCTTTATCTATTCATTTGACTGAAGGAAAAAATCAACCCTAGCTGTACCAAAAGTCCATTTTCCATTGCACCATGTGGTACATAGTAAAGTGGTCATTGGATACTGAAGTAGTGAAGTAGTGGTACATAGTAAAGTGGTCATTGGATACTGAAGTAGTGAAGAGATACTGTGAAGAGATTTGAATAATTTACAGTGCATTATGGGGTTGGTAGGTAATAATAGTACTAATAATAATCATCATCATAGTACATCGTTATATTGATGATGGTTGTACCGACATTTCCCCTTTTCTATTTGGCCCAGAATAAGCTCCAAGATAGATTGCAAAACTCCAAGTCAAAAACGTTTAAAGCAAGTTCAAAATCAACATTAAACAACAAAGCCTCTGTATGCAGTCATCACAATGCAAATGCAAAGCATTCCATCAAACTCCTTAAATCAACTTAAAAGAACTCAGCCAGGCAGGGGAACAGCCTTCTAAAACTGGAAAGTCGGAATCACCTTCCAATATGTCTGAAGAAATTTCCCAGAAAATTCACAAAAAGTTGGCTTTGCATACCGAGATTCTGTTTAGCTGACATAGCCAGCTGTTTCTAAACCAATCTTTCATTACTCTTTGCGTATACAGGTACCCAAGCCACCCCTCAAATAACTCACAACACACACATAATTTTTGTTTAAGGTTTTGGCATAATTTTGGCCACAACTTATTGAAATACATAAATGTGAGTGGTTGCTTAGGCATCGGTTAAGACTATCTGTCCCCCCGCCTGGGGACAGAACTGACTTCCGGACACCAACGAAAGTCTGCAAGGGAAAGCAATATTGGGGAGAAATGGAGCTGAGGCACAGACCCTCACCTCTCCCCACATGCTCCCCAGGGCTTGCCGGCCATTCCAGGCCATCCCCATTCCAGGGATTCGGACGAAAAGATGGCAAGCCCCTGGATTCCTTTAATGGAATTCCCTTTCTACAGCAACCATGGAGGGGCTGGCCCAGCCTATCCTAACCCCTCCTCCAACCAATTGATAACCAATGCCTAACCGCAACCTTACAAGTTGTGACGATTTGCTATGCAGTAGGCAAAAACCAAATGGCCCAGCCAATCGGCCAGATGGACAAAATTCCTACCAGGCCCCTGCCCCAGTGGCAGACGACCCCATGACAGGCATAGCAAGGTCAACGCAAACCCATAAAATTAGGGTTGGACGGGTGGGCGGGTGATCCGTTGCATGCAGCGAAAGAGAATACTCAAGCTGCAAGCACAGGATTTAAAATATCCGATCCCTCCTACCAAATTGCAACATAGAATTTACCCCAGCAACCCAGCCACAGGTCAGCTTAGTAACCCTGCCTAGCAACAGAGGGGTGGCGTGGCAGACCCCACCGCAACACGTGCTCTCCATGAGGGAGAACACGCTTTATAGGAAGCTATTAAAGCTAGTGTCCATCCTCACATTCATTAATTCCTTAAATCTGTGTGAAGGAGTAACTTCTTTAATCTAGTTCCAGAATCATGAGACAAGGTAGAAGGCTTATCCACTCTCCTGAGTAGCAGGAATGGGGAGCTCACTGCTCTCCAAGATGTTGCTAAACTACAAGTCCCACCATCCTTGGCTACTGGCCGTGATGACTGGGTCTGATGAGATTTGGAATCCCAAAAACATCTGGAGAGCCATGGTTCCCCACCTCACCTCAACCACTATTGTGAGGTTGATAGCTGGCAAAACCATTTTTGGACTATTAAAAGCTGCACATGCTCTGTTTTCAGAATGTATCACTTATTCAATAAGGAACGTAAAGCCAGCCCATTCCTAAATGATAAGGGAAGCTAGGAAGCACTGCAGAGCAACAGAGCCTGAGGGGGGGGGGTGATGATAATAATAGCAGGAAAAAATGCTAAATCATTGCCACGTAATAGCGAAATAAATTCTGTTGTGCTTCAAATTTGATTTATTCATTGGCAGCACAGAACAGCTCCTGCTTGCTTGTCAAATTTAACAGCATTTTTACTTCTGACACATCCGAATATGTACCATATCATTTCATGATGTATCTGCAAAACCCGTCTCTGGCTTCCTGTTGATGAATTTAACAACGGCCTGCCTTGAGAAGATACAGGAAAAGAAAAGAGAAACTAATGTGCCATGCCGAGTCAAACTTTCAAACAAATGAACACACTAATCACTAACGAGATGGTTTGCTCTTCCAGTCCAAGAATAAAATCTGCTGAGTCACTCGTGTACAGTGCTGGGCTTCAGCTGGGTCCATAAGGGGGTCACACGGCAGCTAAAAAAGCCAATGCAATTCTGGGCTGCATCAATAGGAGTATAGCATCTAGATCAAGGGAAGTAATAGTGCCACTGTATTCTGCTCTGGTCAGACCTCTCCTGGAGTACTGTGTCCAGTTCTGGGCACCACAGTTCAAGAAGGACACTGACAAACTGGAACGTGTCCAGAGGAGGGCAACCAAAATGGTCAAAGGCCTGGAAACGATGCCTTATGAGGAACGGCTAAGGGAGCTGGGCATGTTTAGCCTGGAGAAGAGGAGGTTAAGGGGTGATATGATAGCCATGTTCAAATATATAAAAGGATGTCACATAGAGGAGGGAGAAAGGTTGTTTTCTGCTGCTCCAGAGAAGCGGACACGGAGCAATGGATCCAAACTACAAGAAAGAAGATTCCACCTAAACATTAGGAAGAACTTCCTGACAGTAAGAGCTGTTCGACAGTGGAATTTGCTGCCAAGGAGTGTGGTGGAGTCTCCTTCTTTGGAGGTCTTCAAGCAGAGGCTTGACAACCATATGTCAGGAGTGCTCTGATGGTGTTTCCTGCTTGGCAGGGGGTTGGACTCGATGGCCCTTGTGGTCTCTTCCAACTCTATGATTCTATGATTCTATCCCATAATGCCTCAGTTGCACCAGCAACACTATTGCTCCATACTATTTCGTCTGTGTCTCTTTACAAGAGGATAAAATTTACAGGGGAAGCTTTTAATTACTCTTTGAAGGGAAGGCAAAAACCATAAAGGAAGAAGAGAAGAGAAGAAAATTTGAGGAAAATTAAGAGGTGGAAAACAGGAACATAGAGTTTAAAAATATGCATAGTGATTCCATGTTGCAGGTATGGTTAAACCCCCTCCCTGAAAAGGTAGAAGGAAGCTCCAAATATCAGTCCTAGGTATGGGCCAATCTGTTTCTGATTTTTCAAATCTTAAAGCCAGTTCTCCACATTTCTACACGAATCAGTGGCCACCAGCCAAATC